AATACGGAAGAGTTAAAAGTCAATGATATGATTTTACTTAAAGATCATACCCAAAGAAATAAATTAAGTCCACTTTGGAAGGGACCATACGAAGTACTGGACGTATTAGATTCGGAAAATGTAGTTATATTACGGAATCGCAAGAAAGTGACACTACACAAAAACGATGTGAAACTATATTACGAAGACAATAATGTGGATAACGAAAAAAACGAATAAACACATGACGAAATTTTAATCATAACTAATTAAATAATAATAGAATATGATAGCTAAAATATCATTATATAACATAGTAGAATATATATATATATAGTATAGATATAGTATAGAATACGAAATACTTATAGTACACAAATTCATTAAGGAAAAAAAATAATAATAAATGATAAAGTCGGCGTGTAATGTGCTAGTTGATTTTTGGGGGGGTTGACGATGAAACACGGTGGGTGTTGCGACAATATTCTATAAGAACATGCGACCACCGGGTATCACTGTCGATAGGACTATTAAGCAATTAGTACGTTCCAAATTCATAGTGACCAAATTCAAGAGACGAATATATAGAATATACGTGTTAAAAGGGAAAAACAACCGAGAGAATATTCGAATATAATGTAGGTAGAATCCAGAAAAATGGTACTGTTGAATTTAACCGAAGCGCATAACGGCATCTGTACACAAAAACACAAGATAACGTACGCTCACGACCCAAAGATGGATGTGAAATTTACCAAATGCATATTCAACAGAATGGTAAGATACTAACCTAGATAATAAACAAAATATATACTGTAATACTGTGGATTGTAATCTGTATTTGTCAATAATATTTAATAAATATAACCAGAAAAGTATGGTGGAATGTACCATATAATTACAATAATGTATTTATACAATTGTAACAACATATTATGTAAACATGTAATAATTGAATGTAATATAATAATTGATATATGTAAAATTTGTAACCTCAGGAAAGTGCTTGAACTAATGGAGGGATGATTGAGTTAATTTTTCTCGTTTTAGACGATGAAAATCAACTTTTAAAGGGGGAGATGTAGTAAGCAAGTTACTACCTAACAATAAAACAAATTCCACAGGTACATAATTAGTATAATATAATGTAGATCGGCATAAATCGGATATTAGAAACGGAAATAGGATTTCCTACTGGTTAACATAAGGAGACAGACTCACTGAATAATATAATGACTCAGGAAGCACTGTATACGACGATATTCAAAATATAAAATATAAAAGAGTAGAATGATTATTTTAATAAAATAGACCATAGATTAACATTTTAGTAATACGCAGAATTATATTGGGAAGTCATAAAATGCGTGGGCAGGCCACACAAATCACATCCGTGAGCCGAGATACTGTATCCATAGGCAAGGGGTACGGGGAACTTCATATAAAAGGGAGCCCGAATCGGCCTGTTTTCAGACGTGTACTACCACCCATTAGTGCAAGCACCTTCACGCCACTTTGTACAATATTATTTTGGACTTAATTTATCGAAGTGTTTTAATAAACTCACAATATTATATTATACAACATCTGTGCTCTTAATTATTTATCAACCACGACTACAACATCGGAAGAAGTGTCTGCGACCTGTACATTAACGTATTGGTAGCCACTTATCAGGTGAGTTTCCCTGGCACCACAATGTTTAAAAATCCACATTTTTCCTTCACCATTAATTGTACCATAATTTGTACCAATTTGTACCACTAATTTCATAATTTGTACCAAAAGATTTCCCTGAGAAAAACCAATTTCCCTTACGGGTGCCAGGAAAACGTTTCCCCAGCACCCGAAAACCCACCAAATGAGTTTTCCCACATTTTTCTTGCGCCGTTAATTGTACCATAATTTTTACCAATTTGTACCACTAATTTCATAATTTGTACCAAAAGATTTCCCTGAGAAAAACCAATTTCCCTTACGGGTGCCAGGAAAACGTTTCCCCAGTACCCGAAAACCCACCAAATGAGTTTTCCCACATTTTTCTTGCACCGTTAATTGTACCATAATTTGTACCAATTTGTACCACTAATTTCATAATTTGTACCAAAAGATTTCCCTGAGAAAAACCAATTTCCCTTACGGGTGCCAGGAAAACGTTTCCCCAGCACCCGAAAACCCACCAAATGAGTTTTCCCACATTTTTCTTGCGCCGTTAATTGTACCATAATTTGTACCAATTTGTACCACTAATTTCATAATTTGTAACAAAAGATTTCAGTGAGATAAACCAATTTCCCCCTACGGGTGTCATGAATTAAAATACTAATAAATAATGGTTATATCTTAAAAAATCAAAAATCAATTTATAATAGTGTATCACTAATTACTATTATGAACTACACAATCTTATCATGATTATCAAAATAACATTGTTGTATAATAATAGAAAATAAGGTAATAATATACCCTATGATATATATAATATTATAATATTACTATGAGATAATAATTAGATGAAACTTGATATATTTATCATTATCTTTTTTCTTTATCTTTATCTTTATTTAGATAAATTATTAGTTAAATATTCCCAACACTGTCTACTAAGTAGGTACTAACTGATTCACATATGTATAATGAATGTAGGTATCTATTACTTAGAACAGTCACCTAGTAGATATTATATCAATGCAATAATGCTTTATATTTTAATCATCAATCAGGACCTAATTAGTAATGACATACCTTCCATATTTCATGAGTAAAGTAATGATATAAGTAGGTTGTAGGTAACTACTAAGTAATCAACAAGAGTAAGTAAAATTAAGAGCAGAAGGAAAATTAAACAGTCATATAGGTAATATTGATTATTGAGTTTTTCTGTTTGTACTTTGAATAATATTTATATAACAAAGGTACAAGAGGTCTGATAAATTTTTTTTAATGTACCAATTTTTCATCAGTATTTAAATTTAATATTCAGGTTCTCTGCTTGTACTATGATTAATATTTATATCACTAATTTACAAGTGGTGTTGTATATTATTTTTTAATACAGCCACAACTTATTAGTATTTTAACTCATTATTAAGATTTTTTATTTGTTCTTAATGTGTAATTAATATTATCAAAGCACATACATATTATTTTGTATTGGTATTTTAATTTAATATTGAGGTTAATAAAACATATTTTGTATTAGATTTTAAGTAATAATTGATGTTTTTGTTACAACTTTGATTAATATTTATATCAGTAAGGTAAAAGTGGAGTTATACATTTTTTAAGATATAACCATTATTTATTAGTATTTTAATTCATGACACCCGTAAGGGAAATTGGTTTTTCTCAGGGAAATCTTTTGGTACAAATTATGAAATTAGTGGTACAAATTGGTAAAAATTATGGTACAATTAACGGCGCAAGAAAAATGTGGGAAAACTCATTTGGTGGGTTTTCGGGTGCTGGGGAAACGTTTTCCTGGCACCCGTAAGGGAAATTGGTTTTTCTCAGGGAAATCTTTTGGTACAAATTATGAAATTAGTGGTACAAATTGGTACAAATTATGGTACAATTAATGGTGAAGGAAAAATGTGGATTTTTAAACATTGTGGTGCCAGGGAAACTCACCTCCACTTATCTACTATTAGCACTACGATAGTAGGTACCAAGCACCAAGATCGTTACAATAGTTTCAAACAATATATTTTAAAAATAAGGAATTATCACCATTAATTTCTACCAAGACTATCTATATTAATCATTACTCATTAGGTATACATTAAACTACCTGTGTATTAAATAACATTTCTGTATCATCTTCGTTTTATTTTTAAAACGTAAAACACCAAGATATTTGATATATTGTCAATGATTATCTAATCCATTATTATTATCATGTAAAGATGGTAATCATTTTGATATTATGTTTTAATCTCCTGTATAAAAATATTGTTTCTTTTATTATTGAAACTTATAAAAATTCAAATATAAAAATACCCGTTATTGAAATTTTTTTTTAGTTTTACGTACATATAATATATTATATATTATACTGAACAAATTTATTTAAAAATTCTTAAATTTACTTATTTACAAAGTTATCTATTCTAGTATTCTATAAAAGTAATACAAATGAAATACTGTCTATTGGTAACCGCATCCCTCGAGAACGATTGAATCGATTTTGCTCTTTTATTTCATTTGCCAAATAGGTAGTCTGAATGAGGCTTTTACAGGAAAAAATGTAAAAGTAGCTCATGAAGAAGTTATGGCTCACACAAATATTTTGAGATTTAAGATGGAAATCAAAATTTTTTTTATTGTTAAGAATGGTTGCCGTTTGTTACATCTTACAAATTATAATAGAAACAAATAGTAAAAATAATTAGTAAAAATTAATATTTATTTGTACCTATATAAATGGTTGCCATTGGTTACTCGGACAGATGAGGTAAAAGTATGCATCAAATCTTCTTCGAACAAAGAAGTTATATCTTATAACAAACATGAGTCGTCGTCAAATTTGTCGTCGTTGAAAATGCTACACAATAATATTCTTTGCGGTGTTATTTATTAATAAAAAATGTCTACTAGTGAATCGCCAAACATATTATAGAAATGGCAATATTATTCTTGCGGGCGCAACTCGGAACATTCGCTGTTCGCTAAAAACCCGTGGTCGCAACTAGGTTGTGTCACGATGTATATGTTCGTTTTTAGGGACGCAATTCGTATGTAGCCCATAATATAAAAACAGAATTGACTCAAAAATTTAAGTTTATTATTAAAAGAGTAGGTGCATTATGATTCCTACACATTTAATATTGTATCGGGACATCTCGGACATTATATATGGGATAAGTGCTCGTTTTTGCTTGTGTAGGCTTTTAAATATTTAATTTTAAAGAATTTGTTTTTCACTGTGAAATTTAAATAAGTACTTCCCGAGTTCTGGTCTTTTATAGTTCTATTTCGACACATTTATAGAAAGTGTAGAATTCATGAATTTCCTTGTTGGTTTAATGAGTATGATATGGGTTTTGCTGTTTAACCCATGGATGATGTTTTACTTGATTCATGGTAGCTCTTTTATTAACGTCTGGTTCTAAAATAATCCTGTAATAAAAACATAGTTTAAATGTACAAGAATAATTACTACTATTAGATGCTACTTTTTAAATTATGAATAATTTTAAATGGTAAAACAGTCATTTTTGAAACATAAAAATAATACAAAATGTGGGTAAAACAAGAGCATGGGGTCGCTCTGCTGTACAGTACATAGGTTACAAGTATATCACTGTAATGGATGGCCTCAAATTTGAATTCAAAAAATGATTCTGAGCGAAGACTTTCAGACTTCTGATATAAGTATAACTAAGTTTATTTGACGATATTATTGTGAATAAAGTATTTTTTTTTACCTATTCACGTGGAAACCTTACTTTAAATTTTAAATCCTTAGCTATAAAAGTCGAACATTTTATAAATTTGTAACTACAAAATCATTTTTTAATTTTAAATTTGATAAATTTCAAAATTCGAACTTAAAATGCTTATAAAAATATAGTCATTCGTATTAGAGTTACATCAAAAACCCAAATCAATATTGTCAATAAATTCCCGTTTTTCCTCAATTTTTATTTTGTTTTTCCCTGCACTTTTGAAAACTATTGGAAACTTTAAATTTTGATGTCATTAAGTACCAACTAGATTCAGAAGCAGATTTACTACTCCAAAAGGCGATGACAGATACAACAAATAAAAACACACATAAAATCAATACATTCAACGCTCTGCTCAGAATCTAAAATACACATGGCTTAGGAGTCATAGGTTATGATTAAAACTTGAGAGTGGCAGGATTGGTGTATTTAGGAACAGGTGCAAAAGGATAGAACACAATTAAGTAGCATCCAATTTTCATTAAAATATCATGAATATTTAGTTGACATAATTAGTGCCGTGGCCAGCAATTTATCATGTGGTAGTGAGAGGGGGGGTTTAAAGTAAAAAAAATAAATATTTTTAAATATGTAAGGTACTAGTTTTAAATGTTTGTAAAATACATTTATATACTTTCCATATTATAAGGGGAGGGGGGTTGAGCCATAGATTATATTACATACAATTATACATAGTAGTATTATTATAGTACGAAGGTAGGTTGTAAGTATATAATATTTTGTATGGTTACGAAAGTAATAATGTATTATTGATCCACCTAAGTACTTGCGTAACTATCTAGGGCAGTGGTTCCAAACCTTTTTGACACTTAAAGAACTTTCAATGCGTCATTGACCACCTCAATTATAGAATTTTTTTTTACAAACAAGAATCTTTTTATTTCTCTTTGCAGGCTTATAATAATGTTTATAACTGATCAAGTTTAAAACTATTAACAATTTAACTAAAATTTCCAAGGCTGGGCATTAACTAGTTAATGAGTTAAAGTTAAATAACTTTTAACTAAGTTAATTAACGAGTTGTTTTTTTTAAGAAGTAAAACTTAACGAGTTACATTTTTTCCCATGTTATTCAGTTACTTACGAGTTAATTAATTTTATTGTCACATAAAGTTAATTTTTTTCCTAAACCACATATTTAAATTTAATTCAATTTTGTAAAAATTAATTTTATAAAAAAAAATCCGTAATATTAAACGTATTAATTAATAAATTATAATTTATAATAATAGTTATTATATTACATATTCACAGAAAATATTATATAACAATATTATAAATGGAAATGTTATAGGGCTAATTACGTTATTAATAAAAGAGAAATATAACAATTTACTCAGTATCCCATTCACGTTCGTAATGTTTGTACACTCATTAATAATTACTTACCTAATCAGTAATCATTATTAATATTATAACTTATTATTATATTTTTATTCATTCACAGATTTACAGAGATAACATGGCCGCCGGTGAAAATAATTCGAAACCATAGTAGCGTGGTAGTTCATCGTATTTACTATTTACTATTAAATAAACACCCGGGACCCTAATTCATTCTTATATACACCTATACGTGTGGGGCATAATAGATTTTAGTAGTGGAGTAGTGGACATAAAGTCATAAGCAGAATATAGTCTGTCGAGTCTCGACTGTGTCACGTGTCGTTGATATTGTGTAACCAATTAATTATATTATCTATATATATATAAAAATGAATGTATGTGTGTGTGTGTGTGTGTGTCCATATTTCCATGGTAACCAGTTATATTATTTTTGTAATTTTTGATGTTTTGTATATAAATACAAATAGAGTGGGCAATTTTAATGGGCAACGAAGTGCACGGGATCATATATATTCTAGATAGATTAGACCTCTGGGTAGAAGATAGGCTAATATAAAATTGAGAAGACCAACCACGGTAGGTGCTCAAACAGGGATTTTGATATTTCCTATTATGGACATTTTTGTTTATAAATGGTTACCATGGGTTTTGAAGTTATTATAATAATATTTATTGGTATTTTTAATGGGCAACGAAGTGTACGGGATCAGCTAAATAATAATGAATTTAATAGTTATAGTATTTAGTTTATTTGTAGACCAATCATTTATGTTAACAAATACATAAAAATAATTTAATTATTTTATTGGACTTCATCATTAATTAAATTATAATATTGTAGTAATCGATTTACTACGTAACATTAAAATTATTCCAATTAGTAACATATTTAGCATAACATGCTGTAGATAGGTAATAATCAGATATGTTAAACAAAAACTAGTTAACTTTTTCGATTGTACTTAACTAAACAAACCATGCAGGGGAGTATAATGCCCAAAACGAAAGCATAAACAAATTTACGATTAATCAATTATTGGCTCAAGGGGAAACGATATTCAAAATAATACCACAACAGATTAGCACGACTTTACAATCATGTAGAATAGGCGGATGTGATATTTGCAATAGCGTTATATGAGAGATATTCGATATACAAAAGTAGAGTGATTTATTATAATGAAATTGGCAGTTAATAAATTAACTATCAGTACATTATGGAAAATACGCAGAATAGATTAGGAATTTCGCAAGTGCGTGGGCTAGGTCGATGGCCATATAGACCACATATGCGAGAGCCGAGATACAGTATCTCTAGGCAAGCGGAGTGGGAACCGGACTATAAGAGGGACCCCGAAATGGCCTGTATTCAGACGTGTTCACTCCAATGAACTGAAAGCACCTTCATGACACTTTGTACAACATAATTTGGACTCTGCACAAATTATTGAAAAACTTTATAATAAAACCACATTATATTTACATCTGTCTACTCATTATTTCAACAACTACCTCATCATCATCAGCGAAACGGTCTAGCTATCTGCAACGTTAATATACAAATACTAGCTGATCCCATGCACTTCGTTACCCGTTAAATGTACAAACTGTATATGACTCAAACTTTGTTCAAAGCGTTATTTAATATTCGGTGAATTATTATTATTTATCGGTGTAATATTTTGGATGTTCTAGATTTATCCTAACTTTTCTGAAAAAATTCTAATTCGCCGAAGTATATTATCAGGTAGGCAATCTATCTGCGGTAGATCACGGACCCCGTGCTGTTTGTACGTAAGTGTATGATTTAACTCTCAAGTATCAAAGTAATACCAAGTATGCCGTATTCCACCTATGGTGGATTAATATAATCAATTAATACAAAATCGAATTAAAATCTGATGAATAAAAAAATAACAAATTTAACCATTTTTGAATTAGAATATCTTCTACCCAGAGGTCTAATCTACACACAAAGATTCATTTTTATATATATAAAAGAAGAATGGGCAGAGAGAATAGTCAAACGACCAATGTTGGCCGCGTCTCCTTCAGTAGCGATGGCGTTACGCAAGTGGATGTACTCGTCTGATCGTAACTTCGACTAATTGAAGCGAATGAGATTGAGATGCTCCATTAATATTCAAATTAAAAAAAAAATTTAATAAATAAATATTATTCTCAACTCCTATAACCCATCGCAACCATTAATAAACAACAATTTATATCGTAAATCTCAAAATTCCCGTTTTAGTGCCTACCGGGGGTGATCAATTCCATTTTTAAATTAGCCTATGACACTCACAAAAAACGTGGCTCTATATTGGTGTAAGAATTTTCGAAATTGGTTCAGTAGTTCCAGAGATTACTTTCGAAAATGGTGACTAACGACTCCTATTTCTATAATAGTATATATATATATAAATAGTAATACAAATCAACAAACATGCCTGATTAACCAGGAGCAACCAATATATTATAATAACTATTATTATTTAATTATTAATAATATTTTTTTCTGGACAACCCTTGTCACTCAGGGGTATGAAAAATAGATAGTAGCTGATCCTCAGACCTACTGAATATGCATATAAAAGGTAATAAAAATCGGTCAAGCCGTTTCGAAGGAGTATGGTAACTAACATTGTGACACGAGAATTGTATATATTAGATATGTATACTTACACAGTAACTAATTTTATTACAAACATTTGTTTAAAAATTGAAAGACGTTTATTGAATTATTATGTTATGTGTTAGCTTTAAAAAAGGTACATAGGTATAGTTATTATAAACTTTATATTAAAAAAAAAAAATAAAGGTAACTTTTAACTTTAAACTTAACTTACATTTTTCTATATTTACTTAACTTAACGAGTTAAAAAAAATAGTTAACTCAGCCAGCCTTGCAAATACTACTATAAAATAATTGACGTCAAAATGTACATCATATTTTTATATTTATTATAAATGCTCACTGACCACGTACAATGTCTCGTGGACCATAGGTTGGGAACCACTGATCTAGGGTAATTATACGTATTTATTATTTTCGGAAATCTAACGACCATTAATTAAGTGGTTTATATAATTGTATTAATTAATTACAAACAGTAATACAAGTCATGTTCTTTTTGAAACCCCAAAAACATATTTATGTTCCATAAATTTTCATTGTAGAGAAAAATTATCGAGTACCCAGGGTTCAGCATTTTTATTGATGTAGCTACATGGGTGGATTGACACACAGGGAAATCGAAAGTTTCCCGGTAAGCCATTATCCATATTATACTCAGAGGCCCTGATCCCCAAAAATGTTTCAAAAAATTGTAATTTCAAAATACTTGGTAGTTATATTGGGTATGCTAGTATTCTGGTGTATTTTGTTTACCTTATTAGGTTCCTGTTTATACACGCCGATACCCGTATGGGCAAATAACATATCTATTTTATATTGTTATATAGGTACTTTATGTACTAAATAATGTATAAAATGTATATTTGAATAAACATTGAACATGTACGATGTACGAATGACAAAAATTAAAGAACATATCAATATTGTAACTCATTTTTTGACGAGTCTTGATAATATCGATAAGAATTATAAATTATTTTTATTTTTCGTAATAATCTCAATTTTACGTATTACGGACTCGTTTAAAAAACTACGGTTAGGAATATTCGTTTAGGTGAAAACCTTGTTAGCACGTTACATTGTTATAAAGTTAATTTTTTAAGTAAAAATCTTAGAACGAAATTTAGCAAACCTGGATTAATGCCCTGCAAAAAATCCGGGTACTGCTATACAACTGCTCTAAAAAAATTTTAAAAATGACCTATACTAACCTTAAGGGGATTTGCACACTTCCATTTTTAGAGAAAAATAGACAAATGTTAACACACGACGTGTGTTCACATATTCTGACTTAAGATGTATTCTGATAACAATTTTGAAACACATTAGAATTTATTATAAAATCTTTTTAGAACCCTTCGAGTGAAATTTTAAAACTGTATTTTTATCCATTGAACTGTCGAGAAATACGAGATTTTGTTCTAAATCTCAAGTGAGATATTTTATTTTTAAGAATGATAAATTTAAAATACTGCTCGAACGATTTGAAGTTTATTTTGCGACTAAATAAAATCTGTATCTAAAATTATTATTGGTGTAAAACTCAAGTCGACATCTTATTAATGTCTGAAAGTAGACTAAATAATAAATTAAAATTATTATTATAGTAAATCCCAAGTCATTACTTTGCTTTGTATGCGAAGGTCGATTTAAAAACGGGTTTTTATGTGTCCCTAATAAATAAATTCTCGTAAAAAATTTACCTATTTTCCCATGTCGATGTATCGATCAAAGATAATTTGTTCTTATTACACTATATGTGTGAAGCACATAAGTTCTTAAAAAAAGGACACAAAATGCAATTGCTGAAGAACTTAAAGATCCAATAATGTTATGCTCTACATCGTTTCTATTGTCTAGTGGCTTAGTTAATAAATACTCAATCCATCCGCAGCCTGCACGTGAAGGGTTTCAAATAACCTAACCTAACCAAATAATAGTTTAGGTATAAGAACTGTTTGTCGTTTTATACATTTTTATTAACCATCAAAAAAAATTGTTGAACCAATTAAAAAACTGGAAAAATGAAAACAAGGTTCCACAAAAGTGGTTCTTATGGAAATTTAAAAAAAAGTTGAGCGTAAATTCAAAATATTTTTTTATGAGCGTCTAAAGTAAAAGTCTGGGATTTGGTGTTTTTGGAAATTTCTCTCTGATCCCTCCTTTAAATACACCACTGTGTCAAGTGTATAAGTGTATTGTGGAATGGAACAAAACTAATAATAATATTAATAATAACATCAAAATACACGATATTTACGAGATAAGTTTCAACGCTTCTCTTGCTACTGGTTTCTTGGGCCTGGAGAACTTTTTAGCTATCTGATTGGCCACGATCTGCTGTCGGTTAGAGTGCGGGAATGGCATGGCGTCGGATAGCATCACATATAGCACAACTCCCAGTGCCCACATGTCATAGGAAATTGGATCGTACGGTATTCCCTAAAAATTAAAAAAAAAATTAAAAAGTGAACCGTGTGACGGTAGGGTGTAAATTTGGCGACAAAAATTTTAATATTATCAAGTCTGGTTCATAGCGTGAACTTCACGGATTTCAAGTAATAGTTGAGTATAATTACTTAAGAGTTAAGGCACATATTATTTTCTAACGAGTCCAGGTACGCCGAACCTACAATTTTCCTAATTCAAATATAAAAAGTATTTATTATTTTGTATAAAATAAAATAAACAAATGTTTTGCATAGGTAGTATTACACAAGTGTCATAATGTGTATAGCTAATACATAAAATATTAGGTATGTAAATTATTAATAAGGAGATTATGGTGTTTCATGTAAGTATGTAGAAGAACAGTGATAGTGTTGTGAAGGACTGTTATTAAGGCCTTATAAAGGGTAAAAGATCGGAGATGTGTATCTTAGGTATATGGGGTTATTTGTGATTTCGCAGCGGATCATACCTATAATGGTTTGAAAAGTTTGGATTATAGATTGTGAATTTGGTTTTGACAATGAATTAATACAGTAGGTACCTCCTAGTTAATTAATATAAATATATTTTTTTTCCGAATTATTTTTTTTTTTTTATTTACGAATTAGGTACCAATGTTATACTTTAAAATTTTCCACCATCTTTAATGACCAATAAATCGAAAATACTTAAATACTAGATGCTACATTTATACTATCAAGGTGTATTTATGTTATACTATTATCGAATTTACGGTTAAGTTTGGTAAAGTTCTTCAATGAAAGGCAATATCAATCCCTAAGGCTATTGAATACTTTACTATATGATGTCAATCTTATAACGTAAGTCCTCAAGGACTCATGACAAAAGAAGACTCCTACTTCCTAGTACTATACTACGAAAGACTACTGGTTTACAGGGGTATGGTCGAATTGCACCTATTTTAGTCGAACTGAACTTGGATTTAAAAATAGTAATATTCGAACTGCACTTGGGCTCAAAAAAGGTATTCCAACAAATATATATCATGCATTTGAAGTGGTTAAACTTTTATAATACACTAATTTCCCTTCCCACTTACAGACTTATAGGACTGACAATGATTTTAATTATTGGCGTAGTTAAAAATGATTGTTATATACATCAGTACCTACATACCATTCTCCATTACGTTAATATAATATTATATATACATTATACACATGAGAAGTTAGATACTAGGTTTCATCACAGTTGTACTAGTCTCGCGCAGTAGATACGCATCTCCTTCACCTCCGGCCAATGTCGTAGTTCTCCACTCCTCATTGGTTGATTTGGTTCTATGTTATAAATGCATGGACATTATTGACAGCCAATAAGAAGTGAAGAACTACGATAAAGTCGAAGTAAAGAGCGCAGGATGCCTATCAAAATACTGTGATGAAACCTATCTAATTTGTCATGATTATTAATACATTTAACATATTATATTAAATCATCAAATATTATTATTGTCATTATTATAACTTTTTTTTTAAAACTAATTTTATTAAACTAATTTTGATAATTTAGTAGTATAGTATTTAGTATTACAGTAATAATACATATATTATATATAATTTTTCCTTATTCTTTATTTAATCGTCAAAAATTATTCATTTTTTTTCATTTTAGATTTTGAAAAGGAAACTAGTGTTTTTACAATGGTGTATTTTTTAATTTTTTAGATTTTTTTTTTTTAAATCTTGTATACAAAATTTCTACCAGAAGGAGTACTTTGATTTCAACATATAATAATTTATATTTTAGCATATTGGATCAAGATGGTACTTAAAAAATGTCATTTTTCGATTTTATCAATAGTTATTTAATACCACGGGGAAAAACCACTGAAAAATTATGAAAAACCACTAAAAATGGGATTTTAATTTCTAATGCTTTATTTATCAAAATAGAAACGATTAAAAATAATAATATTATAATATTAATTCAACTTATAATATGATATAATAATAAATAATAACAATATAAAGTATCCAGACTGACAAACCGTCTCCGCTCAGAATCATTTTTCTTATACAATGATATTACATCATTGAATTCAAGTTTAATACAATCCATTATACAATGACCCACTTGTAACCTACTGTACAGCAGAGCGATATCCACTTACCCGCTTTTTATAAATTTTTTATTACCTAATTATTTTTTTAAATAATAAAAGTGAACGTCCATAGTGATCTGAAAATATAACTAATTTTTTGAACGAGTGCAGTTCGACTACTATCTGTTTTTTACCCGAGTGCAGTTTGATCATTTAATTTTAGGTAATACGTGCAATTCGACTTACCAATGTTTACAGGACAATATGGTCAGTGGGTCAATTGCACCCCGAGTGCTTAATGCACACTGTAAATCACTCATATAATATCATATACGCACTTGTAAGACTTCGGGTGCAGCATATGACGAACTGCCACAGTATGTCTGGCTCATTAGTCTCCGGCCTCGTTCATCCGCGCAGAACCTGGCGAACCCGAAATCAGTCAACTTGACCGTCCGCATGCTTTCCAATAGGACGTTTTCGCATTTTATGTCCCGGTGGGAGATGTTTTTTCGGTGCAGATAATCTACGGCCTCGCATATCTGCCTGCGGTGGCCAAGGCGCGTACGACCGTGAAAAAAATCGAGAGCACACAACGTAATAATGTATCACTATATGAGTAGTGTTTGAAAATTTCATGAAATTTAAAAAAATGAAATATTTCGTGAAATATTTCATGAAATATTTCAAAATATGTGAAATATTTCAGTATTTTAATATATTTTGTTTTATTTTTAAATAAGTTTTATATTTACATATAATTGTCATAAATTACCTTCATCACTATATGGTACCTGTATGTATACCTAACCTTTGGTATTATACATTTAAATTGGTATTCAAAATTTTTAAATATTTTAATGTTTAAATGATACAAGTAGGTATACAATATTATACATGTATATTGTATACTTATTGAATTCTGACATTAGAATTTAGAACACTAAACATTGTGTTAAAAAATAAATAAATTGTGTTTTTATTTGTGTTAAAAAAAATTTCAATGTTTCACGTTTTTGTAAAATATTTCACAACTTAGTGAAATATTTCAAAATGAAATATTTCATTTGAAATATTTCATGAAATATTTCTCATACTTCAAACACTATATATGAGTGGCGTTTATAGGAGTTACACTTAAAGTGTGTATATGACCCATACTGATTTTTCTTTATAATGAAGGGTATTATTTAGTCTTAGTGAAGAGTGAATAATATGTTATTTTATAAACGTGGATAATATTTTCATCTGTATCGACAGCGTGAGCTGTTAGGCGTCCGCCGTCTACCGCGGTTTGTGATCACTATAGTTAGGATGTTGATTACATTTGCATTTTTTTTTCCTTTTATCTTATACAATACTATCTTAGTTAAAAAATTGTTTCATATTTCTCCTTGATTTAGAATGTATTAATTTAATTTTACATATTTTTAAATTTTTTTGCATTTTTGGCTATAAATGCATTTTTGTTTTTTTAAATAATTTTTAATAGTTTATATTATAATTTTTGTAGTTTTTGTGTAATGTGGGGGCATTTTTGGATATTTTAAAGAAAATATGTGTAATATTCAAAAAATAATGTTCTTATAATTATTATTGTTATTAAATTTATAGCATACTGATTAAATTAAAAGTTTGCGAGTTAAATATTTATAAAACAAGTGCTTTTTCACACATACAATGACGATCATACACAATTTAACAATCTTATTTAATAATTAACAATTAAATGTATATTATTGTATGTTAATATTACAATTCATATTTTAAAATATTACTCTGATATTCATTATCACACCCATATAACTAATAAAATTTTTTTTTTCACTTATGTAAGTAGATTTATTTGGTCATTTTTTAAGTTAATTATTTGTAGTTCTTAGGTAATTTTAGAATTTTTCTTTTTTAGGGCGTCAACATCCTAACTATATTAATCAAACTATTTAGCGCGCTGAAAAAAATTATGTTTTGAATTATTATATTATAATAATATATCGACACATTTAGGATTTGGCAAATGTAAGAAATATGAATTTTACATGTTTTGATAATCTTTATAAACTTTTATAATCGGTTAATCGTAGTTGTTTTCCCCAACACTTTCTATAATAAATAGGCTGACAGGTATTTTCATATATTATATAGGTAGGGAAGGTAGGTACATCGCACAGAGGTATAAGGCATTCTTGAAAAGAATATTTTCATTTTGTATTCGGAGTACTAATTCAAATAAACGAGTGTTCCAAATACGAAATCGAATAGGCGCTATTAGAATATATTTTTTCCTGCTAATATTTGTCTGTTTTGGAATAGTTAGGATCATTCAAGCAGAAAACCCTATCGTTTTTAGAGTATGATGTGCCCAATTTTGAATACAATTTTTTTTTTGTCACATATATACACTATTTTTTTAGTTCAAAAAAAGTATTTAAAATTGTATTTGAATAAAAAAAAAAAATATTTAAATACTGTAATTTGAATACATTAACTCGAATACTTTACAATACTGGGATAGAGTTATAATAATTACTATAGGTGTAAAATGTGCGCAGTGCACTCATTTGGAAAAGCATTATGTATACATTTTTCTTGTAAGGTACCTATATACAAATTACATCATTATTACATTTTGGCACTGTTGTTTTCATATTATTATATTTGTTCAATGAACTCACTTTCAACTTAAATGTCAGATGACTATCCAAAAGTATATTAAGATCAAAACTAATATTTAAAGTTTTGACTAGAGTTGGTTAGCGGAGTGAGACACGCTGTGAAATCTATGGTCAACTTTAAATGAGATTCCTAAAGAATTATTAATTATTTCAAATTATTCATATTTTAAATATAAATTAAAAAATTAGTTTTACAATAATTTTTAAATATCTAGTATTAAAGTTCTCTTTTATTATTATATTAATTATTATTATTATTATTATATTATTTGTTTTATATAAGGTCTCTATTATCTTTCATTATTATCACGGCTACTAAAAAAAAAAAAAAAAAATTTACTCTTACTCTACGACACGAGGTTCTACCTCAGTGTAGAGTAACGTCTAGTTAATATTTGTCTTTGTTATAATATCATGTATTTGTCTTGTAACTAGAATTAAATAAATAAATAAATAAACTACACACTTGGTTTTTCAAAACTCAAAAGTGCTGATTAATAAAAGATACATTTACAAAAAAAAACCGAGTCTATCCAGTATGGCATTCGATATTCTGTCGTATTCGATATGAGGGTATCAAACACAGCCCGAAATGAGAATAAATAGGTGGCAAATAATTAAAAATATTTAAACGTCGGAAAAACGGAAACGGAAACGTGTATGGCTCTCGGCACTGACCTGAAGAACGTGTGCGCTTGCCACTGCGGTATGCTCTTGACGTGCTGCAGGTGGCTGAGCAGGTCGCCGTTCTCGCAATAGTCCATGAACACGTGCACGGTGTATGGCGTCACGTATATCCGGTGCGTTCTAACCACGTTCGGGTGCCGGACCGTGCGCAACACTTCCAGTTCCCTGGGCAAGAACTTTCGCACGTACGATGATGTACCCGGGTCGCGCCTCTTGTTGATCACCTTGCACGCCACCCGAGCCATGGATGACGCCGATGCCGACGCCGTCACCGGCACTGTCCGGAACGCCAACCGGACTTTGCTGTAGGACCCGTGGCCGACGGTCGAGCCCAACCGGTAACCGTCCGCGGCCAGCGCCGCCGACAGCGCATCCTCGCTGTCGAGATGCATGATCCGCGGTCGGTGTTTCGACGGCGGCGGCGGCGGCGGTGGCGGAGGCTCTGTAGTGTGATGGACAACACGGTTAAGTGACACTTCCGCGGTTGAGGGGGCTTGGGCAGCGGAAGGGGGACGTCGGCTGCACTGTTGCGTGACACGTCGCTGCTGCTGTTCCAGCAGACGCTGGTGCTGTTCCAGTAGCCGCTGCTGCTGGTGATGGTGGCGATGCTGCAGCTGATGGTGCGGCTGCTGGTACGTCTGATGGTGACCGTTCATGGGACTACCGCGGCGGTTTCAATGGTATCCGTTAACCGCCAAAATATTTAATATCGTCTTACTTACCTGCGCTTATTCTACGAAGAACACTCGTTATTTTAATATGACAGACGTTATCGTATTGTACGGGTCTATCCTGTTTGGTTTCACGATTTTCGGTTAAAACATTATGACGTGACGGACGCAATACTAATAAAATGTAATATTATGTACCTACGTAGATTTTTATTTTCGACTTATAATTTTTAAAAAATGTTTTCGCCGAGCATGCTAAAAAATTGGATTACAACACGGACGATGATAATAAAATCTGTTAGTGTTTGGAAAAACGAGTCGGCGTTGCTATATACACGATAAACTTTCACGCCTTCATTCCGTATATACAGTATAATACACTATATTATTATATTATTTTTACTAATATTATGTTTTCTGTGGGTAAGAAATACTTACATTATATACCTACTGAAAAGCAGGATTAAGACGTTAGTTATGATCATAACTAAACAGCTCTATATTATATTATATTCACACTGTATAAAGTCCTAAAGAAATTTTTCGAATTTTAAAAATAAAATAATAGGTAAAAATAACAAACAATATCGCCCGTATTCGTATATATATATACATTTCGTGTCATAATGTTTGTCCGGGATGAACTCCGAAATTACTGGACCAATCTTGATGACATTTTTTACATTGTGTGTAATTTAGTCCAACTTAAAGCAAAGGCTAATTTAAAAAGGGAGTGGACGAACCCCGGGAGGTGCTCAAACGTTATTTTGAAATTTCCGATGGAAATTTTTGTTTATAACTAGTTGCCATTGGTTTTTAAGCCCCGTGCTCATGCTGTTTGTACTTAAGTGTATGATTTAACTCTTATGTATCAAAGTGTTGTTTTTACTTAATTCCAAATACGGTTGATTAATATAATTAATTAATACAAAATCCTAACCTGACCTAAAAGTACTAAAATCCAATGAATAAAAAAAAAAACAAAATTTAACCCTTTTTAAATTAGCCCAATTTCTTCCCAGAGGTCTAATCCACCCACAAACATTCATTTATATACCTATTGGTTAATCAGGCATGTTTGTTATTGATTTGTATTATTTTTTTTTTCAGTATATATATATACCGTGTGTCCCAAAAATCAGGGGCCACTTTACTACTCATTACCATGTAAATATTTTTTAATTCTGTTTGCGGGACATTAAACTAGACTAATGGATCGTAAATATCTTTAACTCACAATGTTTTCAACTCATGTATCTTGCGCATGCGCAATAAAACTTACATTTTTTTAAATGGCGACCCGTAATTTTAATACCATATTCGGGTTCATCGATTTTTTTCAAGCCATTTTGATGTATCAACTTATGTCCTAAACCCAAAATTGACTAAACTAGAGCTAAGTAGAATTCCACCTAAATATAAATCCTAACCTAACCGTACTAAAATCCGATGAATAAAAAAAAACCAAATTTAACAATTTTTAAATTAGCGTATCTTCTTCCTATAGGTCTAATCTACACACCGTCATTCATTTATATATAAGATATATTTACAAAAAATAATAATACAAATCAACAATCATGCCCGATTAACCAATATAATATAATACACAATAGAGTAAATAAAGACAACGGTATCGAGTTCAAATCCCAGACATCAATAAATAGTTTTTGCAGTTTTTCTAATTATTCGGTTGACTTTTTAAAAATTTTCTTTCTTAAAAACCTTCACCTGGCAATTACGAACATCTTAAAAAAAATTTTGAGCAAAATCAACCCAGCCGTTCTCAACTGATGCAATTTCGAATTTTTTGTCTCCATTTTTATATATATAGATTATATATTGGTAGCTATTGGTAGCTATTGGTTAATCAGGCATGTTTGTTATTGATTTGTAACAATAAGATAA